CCAATCTCACTTGCATTATGACCAGACACAACCCGTCAGGTTTGCTACTGGAGGAAACGCGACCATCACAACAAAAATAGAAAGGGTTTGGCACGTGATTTTTWAAAAAGGGGGTGAGTATTCTTGAAAAAAACGTCGTGAGAGCGTGCGAGAGGGTGCGATCACTTTTTGTGACGTTAAGTCGCCCTCCATGTCTATTTGCAGAAAGTGTCCATGGAGATTGCATGTTGCATTGTCCCTTTGTTCCTGTGCATGTATTATCAATATGAAAATAGAGCCCCACCAATGGCTACTGGTGTTGGTGATGCTGTAACGTGTTTAGGCATCCATAGTTTCTGTTTTTGGTGTCCATCCGCAGAAGCCCACCCCTTTATTGTTGTTTTTCTGTCATGTTTCATAGTACCAGCAAGCCTCCCCCGTATCGTATCAGTGAGCGTCCTCCGTATCAGCAAGCGTCCCCCATATCAGCATCCTCTGTATCAGTATCTAGTAGCGTCTGTATCTAGTAGCGTCCTTATCCAGTGTCCTTGTCCAGTGTCCTTATCCAGCAGCAACTCCTGTAAGCGCTTCCTCCTCCGTACGGTATACGGTATTTCGATATAATATTTGGATATAAAATAGTTCCTTTTTGGTTCCAGGTGGAATTAAGTGACAGCTTGCCCGTTGTGGTCTGAATTAAGACTATTGTTCCACACGTAGAGTCCTGTAGAATCCCTACCGTTAAAAAGCTGTCACGTCTTAATTCGAACCCAAACAGGTACTGATTCTAGGTACATTTTGTACACAGTCATTTGTAGAATTCAACGGCCCTAAATAATCTTAACTTTATATGGTCCACGTATACAACTCTGATTGGACGGTGGCCGAAAGGTTGTGATCCTCGAGGTGAAAGGCTGTTGAAAATGCAAGGATATCAAACAGATGGTCAAGTTCGTGGGTTTTTAATTGCGAACCAATGAGGAACGAAGTGTTTAGGCCCAAGTCGGGAAAGTTACTTCAATGGGATCTAAAGATATAGATCACTCAAGAAATTGAATAATGTCGGCATTCTCCGTTGATATTAATTAGAATATTGTAGGGAATATTACAGATTTGACTTTCCATACTTCTATTATGATCTTACACCTTCCGGGAACATTAAGAAAATAATGTTTTGTTCTACGAGATTCATACGGTACGATATCTCAGTCTTGCCTGTTGAACCGGGAACGTTATTTCGATGGAATCCTTTATTGCCTTATTGTGATAAATATCATTAACAATAATATTTTTCTTATCAAAGTGTCTCTGGGGATAAAAAGGACAATAATTAATAAATATGACAATACAAACCCGGGGGGGGTTCTACTCAAAATTAGGATCAAAAAGGAAACTTTATCATGTCATATGACTAAATTATTTTTTGATAAAGCAAACGGATGGTTCGCCGAGAGATTCAAAAGCAGGCTTTTGAACATGCAAGAAACTCTTTGAACGTTTTGGAGAGGCATAAATCATATCAGGATCTAAGCGAAGAACGAGGAGGAATCCAAAGTGTCAAGAGACAGAAAGTGTTCTATATAATATAATTTTTCTTGCTACGTACTTTCAACATCTGAGTCGATCAAAATATTGGTTCTCACAATCAGAAAAATAACCTCTTTTGAACAAATCTCCAACGAAATTTCTCCACGATCGAACAACCAAACAATCACCAACCATGAACTTCAAGATATGCAACACACTCATTGGGGATTCTTCTGCTTCAAATGATTACCAAGACTTAACCCAAAATCATCGAAACTACGCAATGAATGACCAAATTCGACGAGAGCTAAGCTTCTTCTCGCATTACATGGACCGTCACCGATGTGAACCCGAGCGCCACACTTGCCTTCAGAGCTATCCTTTTCTACCGCAGATGGAATCATCGTCGGGAAAGAAGACACAAAGCGAAATCCTCGGCATGGCACTCGAGGTATTGGCATCAAGGCACAACGCAACTCCATTGGAAACTCGAAAGCGCCGCTCTCGCCAAGAACAAAGCGAACAGCAACAACAACAATCGCGCAAGTGATGCAACGAAGAATCCTTGACCACCAAGCGAAAGCTCGGAGAGGAGACATGGACGTCGAACTTAACGATTGACATGACGGGAATTTTGTTGCTGTATTTATCTCTGGGATACGGGGAAGGGGCGCTAGGGGTTTTAGTCCCGATTTAGTGTAGGTGTAAATACAATGTAAAGTACATGAAAGTTTGATGACATCTTGCATGGGTTTTACTCGCGATTTTCTCTAGTCGTAAATTTAATTTACGAGCTTGCACCTGTGGATGTTTTCTTACTTTTACATAACAGTCACCACGAGGATTTCGGTTGCCGACCACTCCATACAATGGTCTTGTCAATTGTTCTGTTGTACAGTATTCGTTTACACAATACAGCGTGCAATCGCTTGCATCCTAATCTCGTAAGTTCCGGACGTAAATACATTCGCTTCACAAACCATTGTTGAAAGTCGCAGTTGCAATGCGAGAACAGAGATGGTTGGTATTATTCTACTATGACGTAACTAGATCGTTTGACTCAGTCACTGATGTACTAGGTTTCATAAGAGAGAAGAAGAACAGAGATTAGGACCGAATGAATTCGGGAAGGCAGTGAAAACGATTCCATTTTGTAGGTATCCCCGTTTGTTTTTAATCCAGATTTGCTTAGACACTGATAAATATCAATACGATTGCGATCACGGGATTACTATTGTGGTGTTCAAACACGTTTGCAATATTGCAATAGTATTTAAAGTACGTACGGGTATGAGACCCAATTACGTTAAGTAAAAAGTCACCGTATCACACGTTTACGTGGTATGTTAGAATACATCGGCATCAGCGGTGCGAACCAACCAATAAATGACCAATCCAGGAGCATTTATTTATACACGTACATGAATTACATATATGCTGCACCTACAGGTGGAATGTTATCTCRGTCACGGAATATGCGACCATAAAATGTCAATGCCACCACTCATGTCTGTTCAAGGTCCAATCACATGGTTGCAATTGCCAATAAGTGTCCAATTCCAATCTGATTTAACTAGGCCAGCAGCAGATGAGTAACAGATGGCCCAAACCGAATAGGAAATGGCCACATCACTGTGCTCATTCTTTATTTCTATTTATCTAACCAACAGGATTATATCACCAATTCTTTAAGGTTTCGTAGCACTGCTATTGTATCAACATNCATCACTGTGCTCATTCTTTATTTCTATTTATCTAACCAACAGGATTATATCACCAATTCTTTAAGGTTTCGTAGCACTGCTATTGTATCAACATAAATAGAAATAAAGAGACGGTAAGCCTGCCTAAGTGTACAGAAACATTAGGAAAAGAAGCCACCTCAGTAGCTTTTAATACTAACCAGTCCTCAGTGAGCAGTCCATCATAGGCCCTCCAGGACCAATCGTAGAGTCGACACAGTCCTCCGAGCCATAACTAGAAAAATGGATGCTAAGAACACCAGCCCAAGCACAAACAGCGGTGGACAAGGAACTGGATCAAGCACCGGACCATTCACAAGATCTCGCAACCGGAATCGCAACCGCAACAAGCACAACAACACCGGAGCTGCAACACAGTTACAAAATGACAAGAAATTCACCGGACTTGATCAAGATGAACTCAAAGGGCTCATCGTCAACACTTCCAGCTCACAGCAGTATGACAAGCTGTTTGAGGGGCTGAAGGTAATGGCAGGAAAGCTCAACTCCAAGGTCAAGACAACACTACTATCATTCAAAGCACTCACGGAAATGGATTTCGTACCACCAATGCCAGAGATCTCAGAGTACACGACGATCACTAATGGGATAGCCACTGAGGATACAAACAAGAAGAGTCTGCTAAACACAGCATGGCTGGAAAAAAACAAGAGATCAACTAAGAAGTTTGAGAAGTACGAGGAGGACCTAAAGCACTTGTTCTCCTGCATCGAGGGGCAGCTAAGCCCAGGAGTGAAACAGCAACTCAAGGCACACAAGAACTGGACAAGAACGGAGGAAAGACAGGACACAATTGAGTTACTTACACTACTGCGAGAATACTGCTACCGAGACAGTAACACCATGGTTCATCCGATGATCGATGTAATAAACAAGGTTACCAAATTCCTCGGCTGTAAGCAGGATCACAACAAGGATGCAGCAACCTTTGTGGATGAAACAAAGGCCAGATTCAACGTCCTCAAATCAGCTGGGATCCAAATCTGGTCATCCGACATGGCAGAGTATACCATAGAAAGACACTTCAAAGGAGAAGAGACACTCTCCTCATATCTTGCAAAGGACAGAGAGGACCAAAAGCCGATAAACGACGCCATGGGAGAGCTACTGTTGGCCACAGTGATAGCTAACGGATGCCACCCGAGGGCGCACCGTAATCTAGCCGGTGTGTTGAAGGATAGCTACAGTCTGGGAACGGATGCATACCCAACAACAACACCGAAAGCACTGGAGCTGTTGAACCAGTATCGGGCCTTCCCTGGTAGCGGGGGTAGAGGCCAACACAACGCGAACAACAACAGCAATAACAACAACCGAGCATCGCATAATCAAGGCGGACAACGAGGACAAAAGGAAACAGACGAAACAGCGTTTGTCACACGCGGCGAGCAATCAAGAAACAATGGAGGCATGACCGTACAAGAGGCCACACAGGTGTTCATGGATGCAGAAAAGGAAGGGGATGAGACAGATGAACTTTGCTTTGTTCAACTGAGCGAGACCGAGCACAAAGGAACTGGTGACTCACCAATCGATCACCACACAAGCAAAGAGTTCCACCTACTGTTGTCCCAAACGAAGGGGCGAGTAAACCAAAACTGGATCTTGCTGGACAGCCAAGCAACATGCAATTGCATCTGCAACCCAAGAATCTTGCACAACATCCGAGTTCACCCAATGGGAGAAAGGATTCGTATCCACTGCAATGCTGGCAGCGTCCTGGTAGACAAGATCGGGGACCTCCCAGGGTTCGGACCGGTTTGGTACCAGGAAGGGGGCCTCGCAAATGTACTATCACTGGGACTGGTATCAGATAGCCACCGGGTGACATTGGACACAGCCATTGCTCAATCATTCTTTGTCCACAAGGATGATGGAACTACCAGGCGATTCGACAGGACCTCATGCGGACTGTACGCCTGCGACATCACCGACACGAGTGGAGTGATTCTTACAGTCACCACAGTAAAAGGTCAAAAACAGCTCTACTCGGATCTGGACCTAAAGAGGGCCAAGACAGCCCGGAAGCTGCAAGACACTCTGGGATTCCCAAGCCTGAAGGCTTATCTCCACATGATTGATAACAACCTAATACTTAACTGCCCAGTAACAAGGAGGGATGTCCTGATGGCTGAGGACATCTACGGTGTGAATACCAACATCGTAAAAGGGAAGACTGTCCGCAGGCGCCCCCCACACGTGAGGGAGGACGTTGAGCCAGTGCCCGCAAGCATTCTTGAGAGATACAGGGAGGTCACACTTGGGATTGATGTATATACAGTAAACGGCATCAAATTTCTACGGTCAATCTCAAGGCACCTGCACTTCCGGACCAGTAAGTCAATCACCAACGCCAAGAGCTCAACACTCCTGGCCTGCATCAAGTCAATCATAGGAGTGTATGCCTCACGGGGGTTCAAAGTCACCCAAATATTCGGAGACAATGAGTTCAACTGTCTCAAGGATCCAATGCTGACATGGTCACCACCAGTGCAGTTTCATGGGGCAGCCCCCGATGCACATGAACCATTCATCGAGCGGGATAATCGAACCAGCAAGGAGCGCGTACGCTGTACATTTGCGTCAGTCCCATTCAAAACAATGCCCCCTCGGATGGTCATCGAGCTCGTGAATGGGGTTGATTTCTGGCTGAACCACTGGTGCAGCTCAAGTGGTGTATCACAGACAATGTCACCAAGACAACTAATGACCGGCATACGCCTCGACGCACAGAAACACTGTCAATATCAGTTCGGGGATTACGTGCTCGGGCACGAGGAAGGAGGCGACAACTCCATGGACCCACGAGCCCGGGATGCCATATACCTACGCCCAACAGGGGACGCACAGGGAGCAATGTACCTGTTTGATCTGAAGACCGCGCGCCGCATCCGGAGGAAGTCGGCAACACTGGCGCACATGACAGACACAGTCATCAACAGAGTGGAGACAATTGCAAGGGAGCAGAGCTCTCCCGCAGGGATCACCTATGGGGACTCAGCCGGAAATGTCACCATCCTGGATTTGGATACAGGATCAGTCAGTTCTAACGACGACGACGATGCATCAGACAAAACTTACTCACCATCAGACGACGACACCTCAGAGGCCTCTGACCTCTCAGGAGTGGATTATGACGCCGACGAGGTAACTGTGCATGGTGATGAGCAACAGGACACCATGGTCAACAGCGATTCAGTGGAATACAGCAATGCTGCGGATAATGAATATAATGAGCTTGATAGCGGGGACAATACTGATCCCGTAGAAAACAGTACCGATCCTACGGTGCCAGGAGGGATCGTGAACGAGGAATTCAGCGTGACGAGTGATCACAACGGAGCAGTCCCGGAAGTTCCGCGCCCAACCGACGGCGACAATGACGATTTTGATATGCCGCGCGATCAAAGTGACAGCGAGAACGGTCCCCATGAACGCGCAGAAGACGCGCACGACTATGATTATAATACGCCCAACGCCCGAGCTTCAACACCGGAGGACGATTACGATAACAGTGAGCACAATGAGCGTAGCAACAGTACCAGCACCTACGGAGAAGGCAACACTGACTGGAGCAACACGGAATCAGCTCATAATAACAACAACAGCAGCTACAGCAACAGGAGTGACGATGATGACAACAATGAGTGCAGCCCAGAGGGTCTGGACGATGGCGAAGACGGCGGTGAGTCAAGTAATGAAGGCGGACAGCGTGTCCTGCGCCCTCGGGTAACGAGGGGACACAATAAGTATGGACCAGAGGAAGGATTCACCTCAACTGTCCACCATCGGACAGCAACAACCGTCCACCATAACTGCTTCTTCACTGCGGGCTTCCGTGCTGCACTAACAGAGCTTGAGGAGCGCAATGAGCGTTACATGTTCATTGCGACTGCCATAGCTAATTATAATAACATAGACGCGTCTCTAGTAACCCGCCAGTATGGCGTGAAAGCTGGCCTAAAGATATTCGGAACCCTAGGAGTGGAAGCAGTGCTGAGCGAGCTGAAACAGCTGCATGATCGGGAAGTAGTGAGCCCAGTAAAAATCAAAGACATGACCGAGGAAGAGGTTAAGAAGGCCCTCCCATATCTCATGTTCCTCAAGCGAAAGCGCTGTGGAAAGATTAAAGGGAGAGGGTGTGCAGATGGAAGATCCCAAAGGGAGTATATATCAAAAGAAGACTCTTACTCACCAACTGTATCATTGCATGCGCTAATGCTATCATGTCTTATCGATGCTATAGAAGGAAGGGATGTGGCAACAGCAGACATTCCCGGGGCCTTCCTCCAAACACCAATGCCTGAAGGGGAGGTGGTTCATCTCAAGTTTGACGGCCCAATGGTTGATATCCTCTCCCGCCTAGACCGAAGCCTATACACCCCGTATGTGGTCAACACCAAGAGCGGTCGCAGGCTCCTATATGCCAGGGCAGACAAGGCTATCTACGGAACACTAAGGGCAGCACTCCTCTTCTACCAGAAGCTCAGTGGAAAACTAATGGAATGGGGATTTGAGTTGAATCCATATGACGCGTGCACTGCCAACAAGGTAATACGAGGCCACCAATGCACCATTGTCTGGCACGTGGATGACCTGAAGATCTCACACAAGAGCCCAGTGGTCGTGACAAGGGTTCTGGATGCCCTGAACCGGGAGTTTGGCAAGGAAGCCCCACTGTCCGTGACACGGGGAAAGATCCATGAGTACGTTGGAATGACCATCGATTACAGCGACAAKGGGAAGGTTAAATTCAGCATGTTTGACTACCTGGAAGGAATCATTGCTGACCTTACTCAGGGGCTAAGGGAGACTTGCGTGACACCAACCCCTGCGGCAGCACACCTGTTCCAGGTTAATGAGGATGCGGAGAAGCTCTCGACAGAGGAAGCAGACCTGTTCCACCACGTGACGGCACAGCTCTTGTTTGCGAGTAAGCGGGCCCGGCCAGATCTTCAAACTGCTGTTTCTTTCCTATGTACACGGGTCTCCGACCCGGATGTGGACGATCGAAAGAAGCTGAAACGAGTGCTTGCCTACATGAAAGATACCATATTCATCCCACTTGTGTTGGGATGGGATTCAACTGGCAATGCAAACTGGTATGTGGATGCATCATTTGCCGTACACACCGACATGAAGAGCCACACTGGAGGAGTGTTAACATTTGGACAAGGCGCTGTTCTGGCAATGTCGACCAAGCAGAAGATCAACACTAAGAGCTCAACTGAGGCCGAGCTTGTAGGAGTGGACGACACGTTACCATACAACCTATGGTGCTACTATTTCCTGCAGTGGCAGGGATACATGGCCAATGGGTGTCTCCCCGAAGTGGGGAGTGACGAGCGGACCACAGCCCAGCTTGGAGCAAAGAATGTGCTCCACCAGGATAACACCAGTGCAATTAGACTGGAATCAAATGGAAAAGCGTCCAGTACTAAGAGGACTCGCCACATAAACATTAGATACTTCCTAATCACTGACAGAGTCAAGAAAGGAGAGGTAACGATTGAATACTGTCCAACCGGCGATATGATTGCTGATTTCTTCACTAAACCCCTACAGGGTTCCTTGTTTAGGAGGCTCAGAAACACAATCATGGGGATTTCTGAGACAGACTATCTCAACTACAAGGAGGCGTACTACACAACAAAGGAAGGAAGAAACAGGTCCGTACGCTTCGCAGACGAATCCAATAGTACGGTGCAAAATGAGTGAACTTAAGCCATCAATAAGCCCCGCAGGAGTGTGTTAGAATACATCGGCATCAGCGGTGCGAACCAACCAATAAATGACCAATCCAGGAGCATTTATTTATACACGTACATGAATTACATATATGCTGCACCTACAGGTGGAATGTTATCTCGGTCACGGAATATGCGACCATAAAATGTCAATGCCACCACTCATGTCTGTTCAAGGTCCAATCACATGGTTGCAATTGCCAATAAGTGTCCAATTCCAATCTGATTTAACTAGGCCAGCAGCAGATGAGTAACAGATGGCCCAAACCGAATAGGAAATGGCCACATCACTGTGCTCATTCTTTATTTCTATTTATCTAACCAACAGGATTATATCACCAATTCTTTAAGGTTTCGTAGCACTGCTATTGTATCAACATGGTAGGTGAGAAAAGTGGAGTTCGTTTCTTTTCAGTACGTAATCGAAGTAACAGCAACATTGACTATTGTGAACGATCGATCGTCGGGGGAAGAGAGAGGAATGGTTCAATTGTTCAGCAAAAAATGAATTCGTCACGAGGCAGCAGGTCGAGATGAATGTGCACTATCGCACGTCGATGGAGAGAGTTCTGATCATTGATGGTCCAACCATTCAGAGCAATGAAGTCGGGATCCGCGGGATGGTGTCACGTGGATGTCGAAATCAATGTGCACTATCAAAAATCGTCACAAGGAATCCTAACAAAATAACTCAAATTCAGGAAATCAAAATCCGTCGAAACGCGTCGCATATCAGACGGCATCAAATGTATGTGCCATTGTGCTTTTGCTTTTCTTTCTCGACACGCAACACTTTACGACAACAAAATTCCTGCTTGTTTGATTTAACCCAGAGAAAAAGATTCATGTTTTCCGAACGCCATTATTTCATTCATCACGAATTCCGTTCCTGTATCCTGACAAATGCGAGATATCACAATTGGTATGTTTGGGAAGAATCTTCTCTGAAAGAATTAGCTTACGACGGAATATTTTGTTGTTGAATCTCTCAAGTTCACGAAATCCGACGAATTCTATGTTATACCGACGAACCCACCAACACACACTTTCCAGACTTTCCAACTCAGCTACCTACAGTGACCTGATACTCGGTTGATAGCTGGTGCGTGACCTGATAACAGCGATTCAAGTATGAGGCAAATCATGGGTGCATTGGGTCAGTTGGATCAACAGATACTACTATGCTGCAAGAGAGTTCTGGAGTGATACAATACATGCACCGTCGCAACGAACTAGCTGATGTGAATCAGCAGCAAGCTGTGATGCAGCAACAACAGGACAAGGAGGATGCAAATGCAAAGAAGAACCACCTGTAGGAGATTTGCCAGGTCAATGCATAGTATGGCATGATCTGAGGATACTGCCGCAAATGAAGGTGACAAAGCTGCTGCCTTGGCAGAGCTCATTAAATGCCTGTAAACTTGTTCTTGTTGTTGCTTTGTTATTTGAAATGAAAGTAAATCTAGATTTGCAGCAAATAATATACCAGCAAAGATATTCACTGCAGCTGAAAGGAACTACAAGGAGAACAATTTTGTGACATATTATTACAGTAGGAAACCCTTTTGCTTGGTTTTGTATTGAAGTCAGACTAATGAAGAATAGAGCAGGTGCTGCTGCTGATCATGATGTAATCAACAACACAATATTACAGACAGAAGTTAATTGTTCTTTCATTCAAATACCTGCATTGTACTACAAGTAGTACTACCACTCTGCCTGCCTTATGATGCCAGCCAGCTACTAGTACTACTAGTATTACTAGTATTACTTTTCTCCTTCCAGCAGCACTCTGATCTATTGCAAATATCATGATGTCCAACATGCCAGAATCATCAAGTAGTAGCAAGCCATACTAGCTAACAATGCCCCTGATCCTGACATCAAAGGATATGTTCTTGTTCTTCCTCACAATGAATACTACTACTAGTACTAGTAGTACCACCACTGTATATCATGCAAAGTGCAACTAAAATTGCATTCCTATCATTGCCTCTATGCAACAAAAAACAGTACCACATAGGCCTAACCCCCCCAAAAAAATACTACTAATAGTAGTAGGTGTAACTATGGTACTGTTTTTGCAACTGTATGAGCTAATTTGTGTTGTCATCACATAGAGGTAACAGTATACAAGCTTTGAATACAAGTCATGCTCAGTAGCTTTTTAGTTGCACTCTCAACTATTGAAAACCCCACCCAGTAGCTACAATAATACAAGAAGGTTCATACTACTAGGATGGAAGTGCAAAACAAGAAAACTCAAACTTATCATTACTACTGTAATTAGCAAGCAGCAGCAAACATCAGCAAAAAAATTACACCACTAACACAAGAAGCTCAGTCAGTACCAGCAGGGCAACAAAGATCACCAGAACTAACGGTAGCAGGAAGAGGACACAGAGGATGTTGAKGACGCAACAGGGTTTAGAATACAGCCTCCTTTCCACACTTACAGTGTACAAAGGAGCTGTTCATGAGGAGCAGCAAGTGGAGGCATCAGGATGTGGAGTGTGTAGAGGACCCACTGGAGGAGTATGCAGATGACATGGAGGATACAGAGAAGTGGCACTTGAAGCACTTGAAGAAGAAGCTGATTGCAAGGAGGAGGAGGAGCAACAAGCTGAAGCAGCAGGTCCACAGAGAGGATATGGATGAAACACTGAAGGAGGTCTCACTGGAGGCAGTTATACCATAGGAGATTGCACCAGAGGGCATGGAGGATATGGAGGATACAGAGGAGGAGGCATACCAGGTCAAATAGAAAACAATACTACTAGTAGTACTACTGGATATAGAGGAGAAGATGCCAGTAATACTGTCTTGTCAGAACTCATCAGAGTGATGGATGCTGCAGAGGAGAACCGCAATTATGCTGATGATGGTTACAGTGATGAAGATAATACTGATGATTCTTCCAATGCCTCCAATTGAAGTCAGAGAGTTAGCAGCCAGGTAGCAAGGGTATGTCCTGGAAGGGCTCCCAAACCACCAACAACAGGTTTGAGTAATATTCCAGAGCAGTGGAAATCTTACAACAGAATGTTCCTCAACTACATAGATTTTGTGCATGAAAGAAAAGACAGGAGAACAGATATATCCCCTAATAGTTGTGATACAAGATTTCCCAGGGACCACGTCTTTACTGATGCTGAGCTTTGCAATCTTACTCCTAATCATGTTTAGAGGTCCATTGCATTCTTACAGGCTTTAAAAAGACGAGAATCCAACTCCTGATGACAATTCTGTTCATGCTGGAGACACAAAGAAAGCTATTTCATAGTCTGGTGTTCCAAACAAGAAGAGTATTCAGTGGACTGGTCATGGAAATCCAACTCAATCTACTAAAGAAATCAATCAAGGATACTGTTTCAATTTTCAGGCATACTGGGATTCATAGTAAGGATGATGTGAATTATTCTAGACAGAACGTCAAACATGGAGAATCTGCTGATATAAGAACTTGCCTCATAAAAGCAAAGAAACAATAGGCTTCTTCAAGTTGGTTGTAATCAACAGCAAGATGCCCTGGGACCACCAAATGCTAGGAGAAGAATGAAGTCCCATCTTGATAATTCAGGAGAAGCTGGTGGTGGTGGTGGTGCTGCTGCTGGTGTTGAACAGGAGCAATCCTGGAGAAAAAATCCCGCAAACTTCTTGTTTGTCATCCAGCAGAGTGAATGGGAATTTGGTTTTGCAGGGAATTAACAACCAAAGACATTTTTTTATACTACAGAAGGAAGCTATGTTGACAATGCATTGAAAGAGTGATAAAGACCCAAAAAAAAAAAATCTTAATATTATATTTAACCTCGTGAACTACTAGAAGAGGCACTAGGAAGGCCAGAACCATTGCTTTCGTGAGAAAGAATGCTTCTAGCTGCTCCGAGGGGCGGCGCATCCCTCCGAGGAGGTTGTATGGAGGCGCGACCGGGTTTTATGTACACTGATAGGCCATTGAAGGCCTAGGACTGGACTCAGAGAACATGTTTAAGTGAAGTATTGGTTCATAGTAGTTTGTATGGTGCGGTTGGTGTTGGGTTCTGCGGAGACCAAAGAATTTGTTGGTGACGCAGGGGATTTGTGTCTTCGCTTCTTGGAGTATGCATCAAAGACCAGTCCGTCTTGTGTGACGCTCTCCAGTGGTTGTTTACTATGAATCAATGGAGGAAAATACTGTGTAATGGGGCGGGTGTTGGAGACCGAAGCATTTGTTGCTTGGGTGACGCTCGCCAGAATTGGTTTCTCGTAGGCTCGATGATAATAAGAGAGCATGGAGGTAGGTGTCTGCAATAAGAATGCTTCCATATCTGCTGGAAATAAGTGAGCGTGGGAAGGACAGGTGATAAAGACCAGAACAGAAGGTAATGCTCATGATGCAATCCATACAGCAGTATGCAGAGTGTACCCACAGGACAAGAAAACTGTGACAAAGATCCTCAAGCTTCTTGTCAAGCATGAAAGGGAAGGTGGGTATGCACATCAGTTAAGATTGCAGTAGCTGGCTGATCATTGGTGCAGTGTAAATGTGTTGGTTGGATGTTCTTGTTGCATTGATCCTCCAACAACAACAAGAACAAGAAACAAGCACCAACAGCCACATTGCAACAACAAGAATGCATTTTGGAATCGTCCAATAACTTGTTTTGTTGCTCCCCCCTAAATGCAAATGTGTTGCTCCTTTACAAAGAAATAGTAATGTGATGCTTGGATGTATTAATGGATGAGTCAATGTGGTGCATTGCTTAGACAACATGCGTTGCACATTGTTGCTTGGATGTGTTTGTTCTTCTTGCTTAAACTCCTTGTTGCTGAACAGTCTTGCTGACTTGTGTTGTTGTTGTTCTCCCACATGTGATTTGGAGGAACATGTTGCTTGGACACTTGTTTCTTTGAGGTTTTGGGTGGATATGTTGCTTGCTGGATGCATTCTTGCTTGACCTGTTGCTTGCTGGACTGGATGTGCTTGTTGCTTAAAGAAGAAGAACACCAGCAAGCGTCCG